GTGTAGAAGGAAAAAAAGAGAATGTAGAAGAAAGAAGTCAGAATTGAAAGAAGTCAGAACTAAAAAGTGTGATTTTTGGGAGTGCCAGAGTGCTCTATTTATAGGCATCAAGAGTGGTCGGAACGACCTGTTTCAAATCCGGAATGGCCCGTTCTAGACTCTGATGGCATGTGTAAAATTTCACATCCAAAACGGCCCGTTCTAAACCAGAACGGCCCGTTCTCAAACCAGAACGGCCCGTTCTGGGGTTGCACCTAACCCATAACGGCCATAATTGGAACGACCCGTTCCTAATTAAGGTTACAAGCCTTTTTGGTAATTTGGAACGCCCTGTTCCAATTTGGGAACGCTTCGTTCCCAACTAATATTTGTAGGCACTTTTAGTATTTTGGAACGGCCCGTTCTAATCTGGGAACAGCCCGTTCTGGTCTACTATATCACCCTCATTTTAGTAGTTTGGAACGGCCCGTTCCAATTTAGGAATGACCTGTTCTGGGCTACTAAATCACCCTTATTGGGCTTTGGATCCTCGTACAATCTGTGAAAATTGGGCTGTTACATAGGAATACACACCAGATAGCTAAACACAAGCAAGACATGTATATGTACAACAATATCACATTTCATTCATCAAAGACATAAAAATCACTTTAGTATATATAACATTAAAATGCACATGTAATGGACACGGACTACATACTATCATGTATGTGGCGCCAGTAACACATATCACATGATGTATTGTCACTAGCAATACACGAGAGTAGTTTAGGAGTACATGCCGGGTCACACCCTCTGCGCACTCTCATTAGAAGGACATACTACCAGGGTCTCGTCGGGATAGCTAAGCCACGTAAGATACATCCCATGCACACAATGGGCGAGACTGGGACTTCCAAACCGAGCTATCCCCAAGGACTAATCCCCAAGCTTTTACACAAGGGGGCCTTCCATGGCGGTGTATTCCATATCGTACCCATAAAAATATTTATGCAAATGATGCATGCCAATCAAGACTCTATGCATTCTCATATCACATTATCACATGACATTATCATCTCTCATTGTCTTATAACATTATCACATATCCTCATATCTCATGTCTCATATTCACATTTCACATTATCTTATCATATTCACATAGTTTCCACAGAGCACTTTAATTCATATCAAAACTTGTCTATTTGCGAAATTAAACACATATTCGTACATCTCATCCAACAAGGAACACAATAGAACAATCAAAGAGTAAACTAGAAAACATTCATATTTTGTCTGTTTCTCATAGGGTTCTTTCAGGAACCTACAAAGCACTCTAATTTATACAATAAACATTTAACACAATGCAATTTACTCATATAATTGTCTCTTCAAATAATCTCCTCTTACAATCACCAATGCATTCCCTTAGGGTTTCCCATAGGAACCCATAGGAATACCAAAGTCTGCAATTATAATCCAAACACTAACACTACTCATACATATACATACTAATTACATCAATTAGAACATTCAGGGAGAAACATGGATGAAACAGATACAATTTGGAAAAACCCCTCATACATGAGCACACAACAAACATAGGATTGGGGATCAATCCCACTACCCAACATACATTCCCACACCCAGAGTGAGGTTTCTCACTCCCCCCTTACCTGGATAAGCAAAAGATGAAGCTCGAGCAGAATCTGGTTGATCTCCTTCTTTTGGTTCTCCTTAGTCTCAGAGAGTGTGTCTAGAAGCAATGTCAGAGTCTGCTATTTATAAATGTTAGGAGTGGCCAGAACGGTCCGTTTTGAATCCGGAACGACCCGTTCTGGAGTCATTCGTCGTGTGTAAAATTCACATCTAGAACGGCCCGTTCTGGGGTTGCGTTTTAACACATAACAGTCATGTTTAGAACGACCCGTTCTTAAACCAGAATGACCCGTTCCCAACTAGGGTTATAGGCCTTTTTAGTAGTTTGGAACGACCCGTTCTAGTTTGGGAACGGCCCGTTCTAAGCTACCAAAAATAGGTCTTTTTAGTAGTTTGGAATGGCCTGCTCTGGATTACTAAATCACTCTTATTGAACTTTAAGCCTTCGTATAATTTATGAAAATCGGGATGTTACAATACATATACCTTGAAAGATTTTATAAGCTTTATTAATGATTAGGGAAAAAGAGACAATTCATGCCTTTCTTTATTTTAAAAATAATAAAAAATATATAAATACAAATATAATCAATGGTTTCTTATAAGAGTGTGGAGAAAAAAAAAGGCGAGATATTATTGATAAGATACCGAAATTTACACATAGTTAAAAAGATAAAATAGTTTAAATATTGTGTAAAAATAAATAAATCTTCTTTATTTATAATAATACAGATATATTGTTGAAAGGGTGAACTTATGGTCTTCGTGTGTTTTTTTTTTACATCATTACTCATTATTTTTCAATTTTATGCAAAAAAAAAAAATGAATTGTTTTGAACATAGCATGTAATAGGCCACATTGGCCATGGTTTTTAACTCATCCTATAGTACAATATTTGCATGTTTGGAAAAGATTTTAAAACATGGACCTATAATTCTGTCTAAATAGTAAAATACGTAGAAATAAGAAATATTGCTTCAATTGAACATGAAATTAAAAACCATGTTTTTATGTACTCTACATCTGTCGCCGTTGATATATTTATAAGTAAATTTCCAATCCCAAACATAAACTTGACATACGTTTGATATATGAAAAGATTTTAATCATTATGAGAAAATAGTTTCTTGGAAATAATTTTTTGCATAAGCTTCACACAAAATGATTATGATAAAAAAGGTGAGAAATTAACTTTGTTTAAGTAAAAATAGAATTTTAATGCGACAATAATATTATATTACTTTTATTTACTTATTTAATGCATTAAAAATTCTCTATTCTCGGATGACATTAAAAACATTCCTATAAATATTTATAATTAACCAAATAAATTTTCATAGTTTATAAGAATATTTTTAGAATTTATAATTATCGGTCATGAAAAAATTTGACATATAAATTCAATTTCTATATAAATCTCTTTAATTGTTGGAAATTTTGTGCAAATGGTATAACATTGTACAAGATATATCTGCAAGTAATTAGAATCTTTTGGAATATCTTGAGAATCTAAAGTGATTTAAACTCATTTAATCATTTTGGATCAATTTTTTTTAGTGTATATGTCAAACTCAACCCAACTCAAATTTATTTATGTTTTGGATTGGATGATAAGTTTTAATTTTCAAATTCAATCTAATTGTGCTCATTACATATTATTAAACTTATTATATATATATATATATATATATATATAT